ATGACTGTGTTTGAAGAGTCAATATATAAACTCTTGACTTCATGAGAATCAATCTGTTTTCCTACTGGGATAAACAGAATTGAATGCATTATTTGAGACTAAATGTGTGGTTACACTTCGATCTACTCAAAATGGAGTAAAAGGTATGTTTTGAGTTTATTATCTATTAATGTTTTATTCTTTATCAAATATAGAAGCCCTAGAGAATGACATAATATCCTGTTGCTTATATTCGATCTGAACAATCCTTACGTCTTCAGCAGATGTTTTAAGTAATGGAAAGCACAAAAAAAATCCCCTGTTGTACTGTAATAATAGAATTGCATAACAAAGTCAATGGCAACGGCACACAAACATCTCAGCCTCCTCATATATGCTCTAGTGCTCCACAAACCCTGTTGCAGGGTGATGTAGCGCCGCCCCTTTAAGAGAGATCAGTGTGGAAGGGGAGCCAGCGTGTGCAGATCCATGTTTCGCTTGCATAACCATAATGACGGGGCGTTACATAACCGACCGGCAGCCTATGAGCTTGCGCCAGACTAAAAGAAGACGTCTGACGGGAGAGGTCAATGGGCATAAAGTGCGCAGAGACCTGCATAAGTCCTGGTGTAAAATTCCTTGAACAGAAATCATGTGGTGAGCTGCAGAAGAGATGTGTAAAAACTGCTGACGGATTATGCCGCTCACTTTAGGGAGGAGTCACACAGAAAGAAAGAGAGATAGAGAGAGAGAGAGAGTGAAAGAGAAAGTAGCACCTTTTATAACATGTAAATGGCATATAATTTACCTTAAATCAAATTTTGAAATGAGATACATGTATACAGGGCATAAAACTAACTTTTTGCCAGACCTGCCAATGGCTGGTGACTTAAGGAAATTTACCGGCCAGAAATATTTTTTACCAGCCATAGAAAAAAAAACCCGGCAGTTATGACACCAAAATTTTAGATTATAGTAAAAAAAAATCACAATCCTTGATTCCAGTTTCGATACCTGCTAAAACTACTAGCTTAACTAATATAAATTTAATAGTCTAAATTTTTAAAGACTAGTAAATAGTCAGTTGTAAAATAAGAGCAAATCAAATTACAAGCAATAGCACAAAATACCCTACTATACAATAAAGATACGAATTGTGCATTTCAGGCAGGTCTAACAGTGATTTTCAGGCAGCCTACAGAAATGTAATAAATTATGCTAATCAAATAACACTATAGTCTTTTTTATTGGAATTCTGTGTCTATCACTTTAACACCGTGTCTACACCGCAGCAGCTTGAAGTTGTCAACACTGGATGCGACAAAGCAGCCGTTGCGAAGTGCTTGGACTATTTCAGAAATGAAACAGGGAATCCGTTTACTTTCTTGGATTGCCCTGACACATCCTGTGTAGACAATACCACTGATTATAATGGATTCTATTGTCTTTTTGCAGTGTTTCCCCTAGGTTTACGGCTTTGTTTTTTTTTTCCGTTTTAATTTTTCTGGACTCCTTTTTAATGGTTAAATGAAATTTTATTAATAAAAAAGCATGTCTAATTAATTAAAATCATGAAACTTAAACAGTTTAACATCAATTTATTAAAAGTTGAACAAAAATTAGATGTTTGGGGCCCAATTTTTTTTTTCCAATCCCTCATTAGTGAAACGGCAGATGTTAATATCACCGGAAGCGTCACGAGCGTTTCAGTACGAGTACTACACAAAACCGCGCGTCTGCGCCATTCATTAACAACACAGAGACACGCAGAATTCATATTTAAATAGTCGTTTTGCGGCTTAATGTTTACAAATACTAGTGGGAGTGTGCTCACTTGTGTGGGCGGAACTCCACTGTGCGCGATACAGAGAGCGCGACAATGTAACATAGAGACAGAAATAACATGCCGTCGTGTAAATAAGATAAATAACATAAGGCTATTTGGTTTGTTTAATAAAAGAACAAGGTATAGACATGTTCTATAGAAAAGGTAACTTTAAATGACTTCTGTTGTGATCTGGCGCTATAGAGAAAATACAATTAAATAAAATTAACTTGACCTTCAAGGGGGGCAGGGGGTGCCCCTAATATAATGTCAGGGGAAACACTGGTCTTTTGACAAATTGCATCGCGCTAGGTTCGTGTCCGGTTTCTTTCTCAGCTGTTCATGTTCACTTAAGAACCAACTACTTTACTAGGATACTCACCGAGACGGGCATTTTTAAAAATAATATAGTGTGAATTTGTCTGTTCAAGCACAGGAAGGAAGCAGAGCTCAAGACGCGGCTTTCAGGCTGGGGCTTCAGATGTTTAAACTTTGTTCCCACACAGTGTGTGAGTAACGTGTGTCCTTTTGTGTGTTCTAGCTCTTGAATAGTTACATTGCAAAGGCTTAAACTTTTGTGATGAAGCAGCACTGACCTGTCAACTGTACGGAGAGTCGTTCACGTTTGTTCTCACAACATTGCACTGTTTGAATTTATAAAATGTTACCGGCCATCTGGCGACTGACACAGTTTCATTTACTCGCCAAAGCCTCAATTTTTTTTTATTTATTTTTTTTAACTTTTTTACATTTGGTGCTTAGCAAGTGTTAATTTTAGGCCCTGCACTACCAGTTTACGGTTGGTAGGATTTTAAAAATATTTTTTAAAATATTCTCTTATGCACACCAAGGCTGCATTTATTTGATCAAAAATACAGTAAAAACTGTAATATTGTTAAATAATTAAATATTGAAATAAATATTGTAAATAATTAAATATTATTACAATTTCAAATATCTGTTTTCTATTTGAATACATTTTAGCTGAATTTTCAGCATCATTACTCCAGTCTTCAGTGTCACCTGATCCTTCAGAAATCATTCTAATAACATACTGATTTGCTGGTCAAGAAACATTTATTATTATTATTGTCATTATCAATGTTGAAAACAGTTGTGCTTTTGGTATAGTAGTACAACACAAATTTCTGTAGTAATATAGTGTATATAAATTTATATTTATATACAAATATAGTACAATTAGAGGTTTGTTCTAATAAATAGTATGGTTTATTTGTCTTTGCCTGTAGAAAGAACTGTGCTTTGCTTCTTTCTTGGTTTGAACTGTATTATTATTATTTTATTATACCAAATTATCATCCTACTCGTTATGCAGTGGTGGGTAATTCTGCTCATTAGCCACTGTGCTGGCGTCGTCAAATGTCAATCTGAGATGTCTTACATGAAACAGTGTTGCTTAGACACAAAGATATGCGCGTGAAGAAAAATGTGACTAAATAGGCTGATGAACAGATGAAACAAAAGCTGTCCATGTGCATGTCTGGCTGTTTATTTGGATATGCAGTGGCAATCTGCTGCTCATTTCATGAAACACATTTATACAAGGAGCTCATATTTTCTTCATGTCAACTGTCTCAGCACATTTGCACAAATTTTGTCTTACATAACCATATAATGAATAAATAAATACATTTAAATAAGAAAAATAAAATGATTTTCTAGGAAAATTGGAAATTTAGCAGTAGACAAAACATATATCATTATAGCTTGTATTTAATGGTGTCACCCAAAAACAGAAGAGTACAGACTATGGTTGTGACGGTGAGGAAATTTTCCCACCGGTTAATCGACGTGTGACAACACCGGTAATACCGGTATCACCGTGGGGGCGGGGGCATTCCCTCGCTTTTAAATAGCTTGTAAAAGCGGCATGCGCATTTTATTTTCACTTTCAAATAGCGGCAATTCGGAGTAAAGGAATTGTTCGTTTTTAGTTCGTTTGAATTTTCCCACTTTTCCTCGCTTTCAAATAGCTTAAAAGTGACATTTTACTTTCACTTTCGAATTAGCGGCAATTCGGCATCAATTGCTTGAATACAACAATCAAATACAACGTCAAACTCACTTTAGCGTATACAGTGGGTACGGAAAGTATTCAGACCCCCTTAAATTTTTCACTCTTTGTTACATTGCAGCCATTTGCTAAAATCATTTAAGTTAATTTTTTTTCCTCATTAATGTACACACAGAACCCCATATTGACAGAAAAACACAGAATTGTTGACATTTTTGCAGATATATTAAAAAAGAAAAACTGAAATATAACATGGTCCTAAGTATTCAGACCCTCTGCTGTGACACTCATATATTTAACTCAGATGCTGTCCATTTCTTCTGATCATCCATGAGATGGTTCTACACCTTCATTTGAGTCAAGCTGTGTTTGATTATACTGATTGGACCTGATTAGGAAAGCCACACACCTGTCTATATAAGACTGGAAATAAGTAAACATGTATAATATATAACCAAATAAATAAGTAGAACGTTTATTAGCAAAACGAGTAAAAAAATCTGCAAACAATGTGGAACCAATTAAATAAGAAACGAATGTTAAAACAAACTTCCAAAATCAGATAAACGGCAAAAGTCAACAGGCTTTTCAAAATCCAAAATACTGCCAAACAGGCGCTTTTGCATCTCGTTTCGAAACTAAATCATCCGCCATCGTCTTGTCTGTCTCACCTCACTCTTCTTGTCAGTCAGCTCGACTCTCATTGGAGAAATGAAATCTGATCTGTGGCGCGACTGTAGTTCGGCACGCTGCATTGAGCAGCCGCGTTCAGTTTTTAATTGTAGTGTCTGTTCTTTAACTGAACTAAATGATTTTTATTACTATAAAAAAATCAAAACGACGGTGGGGGTCGGTGACGTGGTGGGCAAGTGACGTAACCGGTGTTGCGGCTTATCACCGGTATCACCGTCAATCGCGGCAAGCCTAGTACAGACTTGTATTGTTTACAGTGATAATATTGAAGTCATGCCTGCAATGGGAGGAGTCTAAAAGCTCATTTAAATATTCAATGAGAACATTAGTCATTGTACATCGTTACTGTCATGAGTTGTCCGGGGATTATGTAACTGTTCGCATCACACTGAGAGACAGAAATCAAGTCGACTGTTTATGGCCAACCATGAAGAACACTGGGAAACGGTGCCAGGTGTGTCCTCTTACCTCATCCACCTGTGCCTGTGTCTGCTGCAGTCTGCGGTTATTCCCAGACATCCCTGCAGAACCAGAGTCATCTGCACCTGGGGCGGACCTATGACACAGAAAGAGAAAACCATCTTACATTTCACATGTTATAGAAAATAAAGACAGAATTGTCAGGTTAGCTGGAAAAGTCAAGGAAAGCAAAAGAAAAATCGACTAGAGCAGCCAGTATTTATTTTTTAAGGCCTAGCAAAACATACTCTTTTCTTACTGCTAATGTGATTTGAGCTGTGTATTGTAAGTTGATTTAGTCAGAAAGCATCTGTTAAACACATAAATGTCCTGTTGTGTCATTCTAATAGAAATCTAGTGTGGCAAACAGCATGCGATATTCTACTGCCATCTAGTGGCATATTGACTACATAAATGCATTCTAAAAATTAAGATTTCAAAAGAGATGCCATATAACCACCATTTTTGATTTCCCAAACAACCTTTTGGTGAACAGTTCTTAAAATCTTTTTAATCTTAAGGCAAAAAGTATGTCTTATGAAATTTTTTCCAACTATATAGAATCTTTTGTGGAATGGAAATGTTCTATGGATGTTAAAGGTTATTCATAGAAGCCAATAAAGAAACTTTATTTTGTTATTTTATAGTGGAGTAATTACAGGATTGAATGAGCAGGGTGAGCTGCATAGAAGACATAAACAAACATGAAGTGCTTTTTTCAAACAAACACACCATAAAGAGAATTACAAAAGAGAAAGTATAGGTAAAACCACAAAGTGGTGTGAAAACACAAAGAAAAAAGAAGGTATAACATTCAACAAGCTGAAACTGTACACGTGACAACACACTTTGAACAAGTTCATAATCAAAACCGTCATACATTCATACAGCATAAACACATTTCCACTGACTTTGACTTGAGTCTGATTTACAGCAGCCCTACTACATACTTTTTTTTTTTTACACTATTTTCCTGTTGAACACTATAAAGCTGCTTTGACACAATCTGTATTGTATAAAGTGCTATTTAATGAAATGTGACTTGACCCTAAAAACTATTTGCACACTTAGGACTGTCTGAATGTCATTGCATTAGATATCAAAACCTCCTATCACAATATCTCACAATTAACTGAACCATTTTTGCACAATGAATTTTAATACGGTGTCAAATTCTATTTAGTTTATTTCAGAAGACATCAGTAAAAGAAAATCACATGTGAAAGTAGGGCTGGACAATAATTCAATATCAATATGTATTGCGATATAATTTTTTTCAATAATACTGATATGATTTTTAAACATTTCCGATATTTTGATATACATTACCAGTGTTTCCCATAACGTACATTTATTTATTTGTGGCGTTTGACTTCATTGAATAAACATGAGCACTGCACATTTCAAAATCACAACGCGGCGCGGGTGTTTTATATGAATGCATCTCTGAAGGGAAAGGACTGTCTTCAGAAAAGTTTCGATGACATTTTTATCTGATAAAGTAGCGTTCATGAGCGGAGCGGCTTTGATTACAGCTATTACCGGGAAACCGCTAGTTTCATCACTCTAAAAAGCACCTCCTGCTGGCAGAGAATGAATTTGCATTTTCAATAAGCCCGTCTCCAGCAACATTTCCAGTTTTTGTTGTTGTTCAATTTTAGTTTTCTGCAGAGACTCGGAGCACTTTTCATACGCTTTTTTCTGGCTGAAGCACATTTGTTTCAATCTATAAGAATAATCAGCCTACACTACCAGCCAAAAGTTTTTGAACAGTAAGATTTTTAATGTTTCTTTAAGAATTCTCTCTCTGAAATATTTTTACTATTTAAAATTGCTTTCTATTTGAATAGATTTTAAGATGTAATTTATTCCTGTGATCATAGCTAAATTTTCAGCATCATTACTCCAGTCTTCAGTGTCACATGATCCTTCAGAAATCATTCGAATGTGCTGATTTGCTGATTATCATTATCAATATTTAAAACAGTTGAGTACATTTTTTTTCAGGATTCAAAGATTTAATTTCAGATAGTGTTCATATCGATATCGGAATTATATTGTATCGACTGAAATTAAGAAATGTATCGTGATATAAATTTTGGCCATATCGTCCAGCCCTATATGTGAAAAGCCACGAGCCAGACTTCACTCCCGTCTAATGCTGCAGATGAAATTTAAACCTTGTTAGAATAAAGAGGGACGAGGGGAGACTGAAAGAGACAGTATGAGAGAACCATCAGGAGCAAAGACAAACACACACATTCCGCACACAGACGTGGAAGGTACCAATAAGCCTTCAGATCATGTGATCATGGCAGAAATCTCACTGCTGCTGAAATCCCCCAGCAGTACAACATAATACATGCTTTTGTAAATGAACATTACACAAAACCGACCTTAATTTATTAAGGGTATACAACGGACATTTCATCACGATCTGACACTTTTTTTTTTTTTTCTTCATGGGAACATATTTGGAGAAATTTAGCATTGCTCCCAATGGATCCTCTGCAGTGAATGGGTGCCGTCAGAATGAGAGTCCAAACAGCTGATAAAAACATCACAGTAATCTACAAGTAATCCACACTCCAGTCCATTAAATTTTAAATGTTTTGTGAAGCAAAAAGCTGCTTTTTTTTTTTTTTTTACCAAATCCATCAAGACATTTTAACTTTAAAATGTGTGTTCTAGCCTAAATGCTAGTCCGTAATTCATAATAACGCTTCCTCCAGCAAAAAAAGTCCATCCACTGTTGTTCCCTCACATAAAAATTCATCAAAATATTTGTTTAGAACTGTTTTTGCTTGTAAATGGTGCTTGATCTGTGCATATTTCTCTCCTGATTCAGACGGGACAAGTTTTACCCTGGAGAAAGCAGTATTATGGATAGAAGACTCGTTTCCTAACTACAGGCAATGGTTTGAAATTAAAAACATCTTATGCCGGGTTCAGACTACACAATATTTTTGTCGGTCACGATAGTCACCGTGTCAGATTACACGATTTTGACTCCTAAAATCTTGTCGTGGCGTGGACAAGAAACATGTCAGACTACACGTTGCTTCCCGACCATTCATCGCGTGCCGTCTTTAACGACGCGCATGATGTCATCGAGAAGGCGGAACTAGCGACTGACTTCCGAAAACAAGAGTGTAAACATTGCTGAAGCGCTTCCGCTATAGTTCGCCAGCATTTTTTTTTTCTTTGTTCTGTCATGGTAGTCCCTCGATGACACATCATACAGGCAGGAGTACTGTTGCCACAGCTCCACGAACCATTCCTCCATCTCATAATTCTTTCGTTTCGCCATCTTTGAAACCTGTGTATGAAAGAGCTTCTGTGCTGCTATTGGTCAATGTCACCAATGTGACAGAACTCGTCGTGGACGACGGAAAAAAAATTAAACATGCTAGTCTTTCTGTCGTGATGTCCTGAAGCATCGCAGACGCTGAATCGGTTGTCGTCCACTATGATACACTACACGTGCTGAAACGATGGAATCTTGCGTCCCGACGTCCATTGTCGTTTACGAATCCCCATGGCACCCAAATCGTGGCAAAATCGGGCTAAAATAGTGTAGTCTGAACTAGGGTTGTGTCGGTGAGGAAATTTTCCCACCGGTTAATCGGCGTGTGACAACACCGGTATCACCGCGGGGGCGGGGCATTCCCTCTTTTCCTCGCTTTCCTTTGCTTTTAAATAGCTTGTAAAAGCGGCGTGCCCATTTTACTTTCACTTTAAAATAGCGGCAATTCGGAGTAAAGCAATTGTTCGTTTTTAGTTCGTTTGAATTTTACCGGTATCACCGTCAACACCGTCTATCGCGGCAAGCCTAGTCTGAACCGGGCATTAATCACAGATTTTTTTTTTACAAACACAGCTTTTCACTTCACAATAGTGGTGGGCGGTATGACCAAAAATTAATATCACGGTATTTTTCAAAATTATACCGGTTTCACGGTATATGCCGGTATTTATTTTTTCCATGCATGACCGGGTGTAAACCACAATTTCTACTGATTGAGAGAGGAAATAGGCTACTGCAGTAGATTGACTTAAAATGCCCTATTTTACTGTCATGATGAGTGAATATTGTAGAAAAATTCCACTCTAAATAGTGACGAAATACGACCCATATATTCACTCTCATTTATAATCGCGACATCGTCTGATAAAATCAACATGCATGTACAGTAGATGCTGAGCGGCTATGCGGTGGTTTTGGCTATATTACTTTTTTGTCTCATGCAGCGCACTGCCTGCGTCTGAGTAAAAAAAAAATAATAATAATAAAATTGCATAATATTAATAGACAAACTATGCTCATATTTATAATTCCAAACAGTCAGTAAGCGACACGGTATTTATTTTTTCCATGCATGACCGGGTGTAAACCACAATTTCTACTGATTGAGAGAGGAAATAGGCTACTGCAGTAGATTGACTTAAAATGCCCTATTTTACTGTCATGATGAGTGACTATTGTAGAAAAACTCCACTCTATATAGTGATGAAACACGACCCCTTTGTACATGTTAACCAGGAGTCACTCTCATTTATAATCGCGACATCGTCTGATAAAATCAACATGCATGTACAGTAGATGCTGAGCGGCTATGCGGTGGTTTTGGCTATATTACTTTTTTGTCTC